AAGTAATATATAATGATCTGCCGGTTGTTGCCGGCAGCTTAAATGAAATGCTGCAGATAATAGGCTGTTGGCAGCTCCTGCACAGCATCGTCATTATTGGATTATTGGTTCGGCTGCACCTTAACCAAAACCATTAAGCCTTTAAGAGGCTCAATCTGTAACTTAATAACGTCAGCCCATGACATGCGCTATGTGAGCGCCTCCAATCAGGGAGCTCTGTACTGCACTTCCCTATTTATTTCGGTTGTTTATTCTGCTAACGTGCTTTTAAGAAAACGTCATTTCTAATGGCAAATTAATGCAGTTAGGCTGCTCCTAATCCTCCTCATCCTATCATTTACTTTAAAGACCTGCTTTTCCAAGTCACAGTCATTGACCGTTTTTTTACGGGTTTTTTTCTTACAGTGTATATTAATCATCACACCGAGCTTCTGATGTCTGTCTTTGATGTCAGTGGAAACAGTATTCAACAGCAGTCAGTAGCCAGCTAGTTGCAGACATTTTTACTCTCTGTATCACCGGCACACACACACACATACGCAGAATACAAACAACCAATATAAAAGAGAATGCTTGTTTATTTAAATGCGGGTCAGTTGGAGACTGGACAAGTAAACTTCAAAATGACATTTGCTACACTGTCACTCAGCAGTGTGAAATAGGACTTCAAAGCACTTAATTCATGAAAGTACATTTCTCACTATTGCAGCCAGAGTTATTCTCTGCACTGTAATGTCTTTCTCATTTCATAACTGTGATAGATGGGTGGATAGAAAATGCACTGTTCTCAGATCTGATGTTGTTTTTTCTGTAGTTGACAGACTTGATAGAAGTCTCTTTTTCACAAAACCGACCAAACTGCTCCACGTTTCAATCTGTGATTTCACAGGGAATGGAGGATACCGATACATATTGTTAATAAGACAGACTTAATGCATCTCATTGCATACCATTATAAAGGTTTTAGTCAGTGCAGCTGACTGACGACATGTACAGAATCCTAATTTGAGTTATCTCCACAGACGTGTTCGAGTAATGCACAGTGATTTCCATTAAGATTGGCCAAGGGTAAACTGTCTCAACCCTGTATCCGGCTTCCTCCTCTGGTAAATCAGACTTCAACATTAGCAATCATATCAGTGTGTCAGGATGGATGAGGAAGTTGTGTTCTTTATAATTTAGTTTGATGTGCAGAGCCACAGCACTTAAATAACTCAGAAAAAATGTTTATTGTCGTAGGTGTGTTTTCATTCGTGTATTATCACCTGAAAATAGGAATCGTGTCTAGATGTGTTTTGTGCCACTACTCCATGTTCTTAACAGCAGGTGGTGCTTTTATAGAGTTTAGTTCTTATCTTGAACATAACCTTTATATAGGTTACCATGGCGACATACCCGATTAAGAAGTAAACCACTGCAGTATGCCTGAAAACCTTGCTAACCCCAAATCTTTCTTCAGGACTCTGGTAATCACTTGAAGCTCCTTTTGGATAATGTGCAATTTAGTTTTCTCAAAATAGAGAAAAAACTTCTCTGTTTCTCTTCTTTCTTTATTGGTATAGATTTAATAAAATAACTAAAATAACTCAACAAGGGATGGTCTTCATGTGGATTCAACTTTATTGCTCAATAAAAACATTGTGCCCCTAATATTTTGAACATTCATTGTATATCCACAGACTGTGTGATCCTCAGTTTGCCATTTTCACTAATTTGATTTCCATGATGAAGGTTTCAGGATATGAGTTTCATGGATTCGCTGTGAGTTGGATTTTTATCAGCTCAAGGATCCTCTGCTTTTAGATGCCAGCATCAAGTTTCTAAGAGCAGCCAGCTTTCCTCAGTATACTTTATAAAGCAAGAACTTCTTTATTTGTTCATTTCTATACTGATTTTCCTGGTTTCATTAAAATGTAAGTTAGTTATAACAATAGACAAACAACAATACAAACATTAGTGCAGCACAATGTCTCCATCATTCACTGTCAAGCCAAAATGATGGTGAACACAGCAGGGACAAGCATCATTCCTTGTGCAATTTTATATAAAACTTCTATTATAAACCATTGTCATCATTAATGTGAAAACAATAAACCTTAAGAAACTATAGCATTTCACATGGTGCTTTAGATGCCTGCAGAACTTCAGGGGCTCTAATATGAAACACAAGTGGGTGTTCGCCTTCCCTTTGATTTTGAATGATAACACCCTTTGGTGATGGTGACAAAGCAACAACAGCAGTAATGGCCTCAAGATAAGAAAACAACACCGGCCAAAGCACCAATCTCTGCATGAGCAAAGACAATTACCCTCACTATAATGAGTTGGGTGCTTTGGCAGCAACCAATCTCCAGTCCTGCTGTATCATGCTGACTATATTCATATCACAGAAGCGTGTCTGTGTAGCCATAAAGAAATTGATGTCAGGCCAGGTTACTGAGACTAACAAATGAAGTGTCGATAATAAAAAGAGAGACAAAAAGAGTAAACATGAACACCAATCTGTGATCCCTGCTATAAATCGACGAAACGCAAAATCCTTTTAAATGTTCTTAAATCAGTTTGCTCGTAATAAAAGACTATTCATAAATACACAAGGTTAAAGGAACTGTTCAACATTTTGGAAAATGTGCTCATTCACTTTTAAAATATATAATATTAAGGTTTCGGATTTTAACTAAATCAAGTTTCTCCTTTTTTTCTTTTTTATCTGTGAAAACAGCTGACATTTGTGTTGCCTTTGTGTTTGTTGTTGTAATACTAATTTCGACCACAAGTGTCTGAAGTGCACCTCTATCCCATGTTATAAACAGACTAAAATTCATGTAAACAAAAATCACTGCCAACAACAGTCAGGTGCTGGTAGGTTACAGGACCATGTAGTAAGCAATCAGAATTGCTTCCTCAACCTGAGGACGCTGCAAGCGAAACGCGTTGCTCGCTCTTACATAAAATCACAGTAAAGTTATTCCAGTGTGCGGTGGTCAATTCTGATTGCAGACTAAATATCATGTTTTCTTTAATGTGAGTTTTAATTTCTCTTAGCACCAATTAAAAGACATTTCTAGCCAAAAGAACATTGCTTACTGACAGTACCTTGTGTTTGCGTCACTTTTTTGGCTGTTTTTCACCTTTGTAGTTCTCTGATTGACTTTACAACAAGAAATATGAACAGTTCACTTCAAAGAGAGAAAATGTTCAGTAATTCCTTCATGGGTACTCCTTTCGATCAGTGCCGTGGGCCTTTATTCTATCTTTTACACTTCCATTATAAGTTTTCATGTGCTGTGGAAATGAAAGCCGAGCTCAGGGATACTTTCATGACTTGCCGCTCTCTGTGGTTAACGCTGACGTCAACATTTACCGTTTGCTGGAGAGAATAAGGGGCAGCAAGTGAGGTTTGAAAGCTAGAAATCTATTTGCACAGTAAGATCCGCTGCTATTTTTCTCAGATTCTGCCAAAACCTGCTTTTATACCACAGACATTGTGTGCCATGAAAGACTAAAAATCTTATTACAAGAACAAACAAAAGTTTCCCCAACAGGGTATTAAAAAAACTATGCACATGCTGTTGTATCACACCATACAGTATTAGAATGAAAGTTTTTACATTAAAAGGTACTATGTGAGTCAATTTACATAATAATTACTTTTTATTGCCAGAGTGTGAACGTATGGTAGCACAACTTAATGAGACCTTCCCCCAACTTTCTTGGTTGCCTATGGACTGACTTCTATGTAAAGGACTATGTATTCTTCAGTTTCCCTACAGCACCAACAGTGTGTAACACTAGCTAACAAGAAATTAAAAATGGAGTTTCTAATATCAACAAACAACCAGCAGCCGTTACATTTGTATCTAGTGAAGCCTGTCAGAGTAGGTTTTTAACGTATAAGACGTCTCTGGGACTGGGCCTCACTGATTCGCCTTTATCATTCTTATCATTCTTATCGTTCTTATAAATCATGCGTGCCTTTGTACTGGGTCCAGAAATTTGTGCTACGCCCCTATACCCAAGTAATTACACTGTTAATTGGGCAGAATCGCATCCTCTGCACCATTTTTTACAGATTCTCATTCACATTCACATTCTTAACCTGACTTAATGAAGCATACATATGTTTATACCACAAGCTGTACATGAAGCACCTGTGGAAAAAAATGTAGGAAATTCAGACCCAAACAATGTGACACAAGGACAGAGAAACATTTATGTTGTTATTGACATCATTTCTGTTCCATTGTTCAATGGTAATCTCTCACCAGGGTTGAGAGTCAATAGTCGCCTTCTATTTACCATTGTCTCTATTATATTAAGAATTAATGTAAATGCCATTAAATCCTGGCTTTATTTGTTATTTTCGGGATCATTGGTGATACTTCGATTGCTGCCACTTGACATTTGGATGAGTGGTAATACTGAGTCACCCCACTGTGAAAAGCTGGAGAAAAGAAAGAAACAGTGCTGCTTTCACTCTCTTAAGTGTGGAAAAACACTCAAACACATATTTTTCAGCTTGAAAGGTTTCCCACTCTATATATGACCTTGGATACCATTGAATGGAGTCATTTCCATTGAATGCAACACTTTATTGACACTTCTCTTTATATAATTACAAGAAAATGTTTGCAATACAGTTTCAAAAGCAATGCAGATTTTCTTTTTGATTACATTGATATTATTTCCTTTTATTAAGGGAATACCCAATTCGACCTCCTGATGAGATTCCTCTCATTTTAAACATTGTTAAGAGAATCTCCTGTTTCCCCTGCAATTAAATTCATCACTTAAAACATACACCAAGTTACAATAGACACGCCAAATTGTACATTTCCAGTGATCACATTGGTGCACACAGACAAATAACTGCCACACAAGCCACCCAGATACAGTATAATATCACTTTTTTACTACATGCAGTAGCCTGCAGATGTTTGTGCAATATCTTTAATGATGTTTCACTGATGGATAAGATTGTTTTAACATTTCAAATACAATGACTGAATGAGTCTGTTATAATACACTGTTTTTCTGCCACAATATAGATACAATTACAACATCAACAGAACATACAACAGTCACACAAATAATGTGTTTTCTCTTACCGGCTATTAGTGCCATTACTATCTAGTCACACCGCACTGTCAAAATGAATAACTGATGACTTACACTGCGAATTCTGTAATCCAACAATACTGATGGCAAGTTTCAGCATAAAACAGATAACACAATTAAACACTTAAACACTGAAATCAAAAATGCATGAAATGAATCAGAGGTACAGTAATGATTAATAAAGCTGCTGATCCTCAGTAAACATCCGGGGGTGTTAAGTCACTCATTATGCTCTATTATGAAGAAGCCTGTGCTATTTGTTTTCCATGTTGAATTGCTTACTTATTCTCTGTAGTTTACTGGGACTAAACAGACACCAGAAGTCATCTATTGTTCTTTTTTCTCTCATTTTGGTAAACGTGTGATTAGATATGACTGTTACTCACATTGAACACCCTTGAAATGTCACTTATTATATCACTCCTTGGCACATTCATGTAGTTAACGGTGTAACAGAGTCACCTTTGGAAAGAAAACCCCTCCTCCAGTATGTCTTCAAGGAAACAGAAGTGTTTGCTGAGGGAATAAGAACAGTCAGTAGTGGCAGGAGGCCATCTAAGCCAGTTAAGCGTCCATCTCAGTGCACGGCCACAGTGACAGGCAGCATGTTTTGAAGTAGTTCCCTTGATGAGTGCGAGTGGGACGGATGAGAGCTGTCCGGTGCCATCCTCAGACTCATGCTGCCATCAGCCAGAGCAGGGGCAACTCTGAAACCCCTGTGAGACGGCCGGATGGCTACAATGAACTGCCTCTTAAATGTCTCACTTAATACAATGTAGATAAAGGGGTTAATGCAGCTGTTGGCATAGCCCATGCTGATAGCAATGTTGTAGGCATACAGGAAGGCAAAGGTGGGCCGCTGTACTCCAAGGTGGACCAACTGCAAGATGTAGTAGGGGGCCCAGCAGGTGAAGAACGCCACGCATATGGCCACTGCCATACGAGTCACCTTTCTCGTCCTCACCCTCAGGCTGCGCTGGGGCAGTGGGGCGACTGTAGCTGACATGTTTTGGAGAATCTTGAAGAAGACCCCACAGATGACCACCCAAGGCAAAGCGAAGGCCAAGAAGAACTGGTAGAGGGTGAACCAGTATGTATCTGTGGCCGGGTTGGGCAGCAGTAGGGCACAGCCGACTGAGCCATCCTTGAGACGCATGAGCCCTGTGTACATCCAGACTGGAGTGATGGAGACCAGAGAAAACACCCACACCAGAGCCACCGCTGCCCCAGCCACGAAGGGGGTTCGGACATGTTTGAAGCGGATGGGATGCACAGTGGCCAGGTAGCGGTCCAGAGTCATCACGGTCAGGATGTATGTGCTGACTATCTGGCTGTTGGAATCAAGCGCAGTGATGACGGTGCACATGGTGCCACCAAAGCACCAGGAGCCATTGCCCACCAGCTGGTGAATGAGGAAAGGCATGCCGAGGAGAAAGAGGAGGTCTGCGATGGACAAACTGAAGATAAATATGTCTGGCACTGTTTGCTGGGAGCAGAACTTGGTCTTCTTCACGATGGTGTAGATCACAACGCAGTTTCCAAAGATACCAAAGAAACAGATGACACCAAAGATGCTGGGCATGAGCACATTGTTGTACTGCTCATGTTCTGCCAGAAAGGACACACACAGATACTCTAAGTCAGTCATTTATACTGTATACAGTAAATCCTGCTGCATGGAATTCTTTCCCATATATATATATATATATTGTTTTTAATGATGTTTAAGCCACTGGATCTGACCAAAAACGGCCACAATGAGCACTGATCCATTCATAGATTATTTAACAATAATGTTGCATTTACATGGTGTGCTCGGTTAATTTGAAGGAGTTCATTTAAAAAAGGAGATGAAACAAACAACCTACCTTGTTCTGTATTCCCGGGAGAACTGAAGGAGGAAAAAGATGAATTGGAAATGTGGGAAAAGTCCATCCCAAAAAGCTCCTGGTGCCTGATTATAATAATGATTATACGACTCATGTAACAGTGGAGCGAAATAAAGTCCAGTTAGACATAAAAACAGCATGCACAAAATCATTCAAAGATGTATTTTATTTTATTTCGATGTTAGTTTATCAACGCCGCGCGCATGTTTGTGTTATCCCAAAGTCTTCATCAGTGCACGCGACAACTCAAACGCACCTAATGGGGGAAACAAACGAGCTGACGTAACACATCCGTGATGCTGTCAGACTGACAACCAGCACTCAGACAGACAGACGGACAGACAGACAGAGAGCATGGCTTCAACTGGACCCCTACCAACACGTACAGGTATGTTCTAGCAGTCTATCGTCTGCGGGGCTCACCATGCTGTCAGCGGGAACGGTCATTATCAGGGAGGAGCCCCCCCCCCCTCTATTAATTCTATTAATGCTGTCTCCCTTGTACAAACATTTCGCCCCCCTCCCTCTCTGTGTCAGTGACTGTATCTGACACTACCACAGCTCTTTGTCTCTGTCCTACAGCCTCTCCTGTTGGGGAACTTTTACCACGTTAAGCTTTTGATGCATTAGTAAGTCGCCACTAGGTGGCAGCATTGTCAAGGTATTTAAATGCCCCTGTTGTCACGGGCACAGCTCATAATTAAAAGCAGATGTCCCAAAAAAAAAATGAAAACCAAGAAAGATGGCCATATATTTGCTAAATAAAGTGTTGTGGTGGGGATAAAGGTAGGAGCTAACACACACCCCGCTTTAGAGGAAGAAGCTTCATGTTGTACTTTTTTATAGTGTAGAATCAGAATAGTGTCTTTGCATTGAATGCATATTTCTGGCTGCTTTGTATGAAATATATCCCTGCATGAATTTGTATTATTAATATGGTTCATTTTTAATGGGAAGAACCAGCTGACTACCTGCTGGAAACAGGTGGTTTATAGGGTGGATTATTCTATCAAACACACTCAATTACTTTCTGATATAATCCATCAAGACTCTTAAACCTCATTACTAAGAAGTACATCAGAACATGATGGCTGTATAATGCACCTGAGCGGTAAAAACAAGTGCTGATGTGGCATTATTTTACAGCCATCAACCTGAAAGCACTTACCTTAACCTTAACCTTACCTAACCTATGTTATCTGATGCTCCACCTCGTTTTATTTCAACTTATTATGTAGTAACTGGTGTGCAGTCATTTATGTGATTCAATCGTCTAATTTGACTCTCAGTGATGAAACACAAACTAGACAGACAGACAGACAGA